TTGTGCTATCAGATTCCTGCTGCGAGGCAGGAAGCAGCTTCCATGATTCCTCTCGGAATTTGGCTAATCCTTGCAGAAAGGTGAACAGCAGGAGTTTCTTGAGCTGCCAGCCGTGCGATAAGCCATACTGTCACTTCGGAAAGACACAGCGAGTATCTCCCAGCTCCAGCTGAATCCTGATCTCAGAGCCTCGTCCTCCTGCAGACTCATATTCCAACCCCCCCAGCGCAGYGCTGTCCCGGGAATAGTTGCACATATGCTGCAGTGAAACCTGACCCAGGTCATTCCTAGAAATTCRGTCAGACTCATTGGTTCTGAACCCATGGGAGCAGGTTGGGGCACAGTGAGCGCGGCTGTAACCGTGCCGGGATCTGCGGGCCACGAGAACAGGAGCTGGGCTGCAAAGACGGGGGCCAGGAACAGGGCACTGGCAGCTGGCCGGACAACAGGCATGATATGACACCAAGGTCTGTCCTAAACGTACTGTGCCCTGGATCAGAACATCCAATTCTGTGGTCTCAGGGGGTTTTATAAAAGAATTAGGCCAAAATACAGCATAGAAAGATTAACTTGATGGTATTTTCTTGGAAAAACAATTTGAGCCCTCCATTTTTTAGAAAAGCAATCTCTCCCCTATTTTTTTTTTTTTTTAGTTCTTGCCATGCATTCTGCTGCATTTTACAGTTTTCCAAGCCTTTTGCTTGGAACTAGCCCCCAGTTCACAAAAAAAGTAATTTTTGACAGAAGTCAAAGCTGCCTCAGATGAAAATGAGATTTCAAAAGTCTGAAAAATAAATATGGAAAACTGCATTTGTTTATTTTTATCAGGTCTTATTTCTCTGGAACATGAGTTGCAACGTGATCCAAATCTTAGCCATGAAACCATCTGCAAGATAGCGAAGTCAAAGTACAGTCATATTGTATTTGTTGGCAAAATAGGCTTATTGAATGCTGTATTTTATTTTGGTTATGAAGCACTAGCAGCAATGGAAACTGTCAATGTGTATCCATGGCAAAGGAGCCCTTCAACGCAAACATTTTTGAGCAGCTCCCCAGCTGATCGGAGTTGACAGAGCTTCTTTAAAGCCTGTGGAGCCATGCCAACTCAAACCAACTCAGGATATGGCCTTGGAATTAATGTTTTACATGTCTGATGTGTTAATAAAAGAAAAAAGGGAATATTCTTCATTATTAAAAAGTTATGCTCTGAATGGTTAAATAGCGCGTGATGCCATCGCCTGCATACAGGCACTTTCCTGTCTTCTCCCTGGCCAGCCTCGGTCCCTGCTGCGAGGAACAGCACAGGGCTGATCTGGGAAGAAGTGAAACAGAACCAGGCAGATTAAGCTAAATCCCTCACACATGAAGCGTATTAAGATTTATCAAGCTTGTAAAAAACATCATCACCAGAAACTATCTTTGCAGGAGACACGTGATAGGTGCTGCTTACCGGTGACTTCCAAGCTTATTGGGCTACACCTGCCTTGGTAAAACGACAGAAAGGCAACGTCTCGCTCCGCTGCCAAGACTCCCACAGCTTGGGATATTAAAACAACAAAAAAACACATTTTTTACATTCTCCTCTTTTACTGCAGAATTTAGGAGAACAGACATAAGGACACGTTAACAGCCAGATCTGCTCTTTTTAGTTACTACAAGCCCATTTTTACTCTCTGTAACAAATAGTCCCAGCCAGCCATGCAGCTCCCACCACTATGAGCCACGATTAAAGGACTCAGGCTGGAACATYGTTAAAAACTGGAAGGATTTTCAGAAGACTTTTATTAACCAGATAAGCACTCCATGATTAAAATGTCATTATATGTTACATTTTCATAGTAACGGAGACGTTTTCAGTAAGTACCTAATGGCCTTTTGTCCAGAGGGTTCTTAGTTTGGAAAAGCACCTCGACTGCTTCAGCAACCTGCAGTAATTCTCTGTCTTCTCCAGCCTTTCCCTAAAGGGTCAAGGGAGGGGATGCACTTACAGAGAGGCTTTGCAGTGCTCCCACTACATCACACAGCCTGCAAAAGCTCCGGGACTGAGAAGCCCTCATTCACATCACTGGTGYTCACCCAGCATCGTCCTACAAGGAAAGACTTAAATACCCCTGGAAGCTATGTCTGACRCAAGTTATATTCATCCATTTATCCAACAGCATTAAGCACGTGCAATGTTTTCTCCCTGTTCACCAGAAATGGGGCCCATTAGCCAAGCTAAAGCAGTACTGGATCCATGCGGCACTGGATTGCAATTGCCTAGTGCAGGGAGGAGAGACAGAGAAAAGTCTCGGCACCACCTGAAGCTTCACAGACACCATCTGTGAAGGGGCAGCAAAAACACAGACRCTTTGGCCTCAATAAAAAGGCCAAAATAAAAAGCCCTCAGTAATAGCACAGTGAGAGACATTTCGGCAACCTTTAGGCACACTTCTTGTGAGGTCAGGATCTCCCTAAAACTCCTCCTCTGGGAGGTAAATTCCCAAWAAAGAATAATCCCAGATATTTCTGATTAATTACTGAAGAAATGTGAAACCATTAAAAGTYTGTTTAGTTTGTTCACAGAACCAGGTTCTCCCCTTAAAAACAACCTTAAGATACTCTTAGCAAAATCACATATATTTTCTTATTTTAATCTTTGGCAATGAGAGTGCATCCCTGACCTCATTTGTAGATCTGATATTTCTTGTTAGGAGACAAAAGACAGTATTTTGCTAGATGTGTCATATACACTCCCATCAAACATCAACAAGGGCATCAAAATTCAGCTGGGTCACTGGGGTAAACCTAAATTGCCACCAAATGAACGGGCAAAACTTACTTTCTACAAAGTGAAAGGAAAGAAATGGCTAAACATGCCGT